CACCGGTCTTGTGAAATTACATTGAACGAGGAAAACTGCAAATTTTGATTTTGATTGGTTTGATTTGAGTATGTGTATGCAAGTTGTCAACGACTCTGAGCTCACCCCCTGCATAATGCTGTGATTTGCTCGGTTCGTGGGCGTGAGTTTCCGATCCTGTCGCCCACTGACATAAACCATATGCGAAACCTGTCACTGAGTCAGCTATGGTGCTAGCTTTTATTTCCGAATTCCTCGAAAATGAAGCTATCGGCGATGTAAAACGGTTTTCCTTGATTTATTTGAGATCGTGCATGGCTTGAGAAAGCTTCAGATCGGCTCACGCGCTTGCACTTAAAGTTTATTTTCAAACATGCTTTTACTTCATTATGTAAACAATATTAATTAAATTTTAGAGTTCACGATTACATTGATATGCTTTTGATACAATTGTTGGTCAGAAAAGACATATAGTACAGTAATTTACGCTTCCTTGAGATACGATTTTCCGAACGGAATGATCTCTGCAAAAAGCTTTATGTTAGAAGTATAGTATTATGATCAATTTCTTTAGGTACCTTTTGTTAAATCAAGGTAGATATAAGAGTTTAGAAACTGTGCTTATCTTGCCTGGAATCTCTTAAATAGAAGCAGTGATGCCGAGGTTTCTGCATGCTGTGCCTCAATTTTTAACGCTTTCAAACAAGGATTCTTAAAACTGACAGGTTATAACTGAATATAAAAAGACACTATAAAAATTGCACATATTTTGTAAAGGAAGTTTTGTTCTGTGCATTCTTGCGTGACTTAATACTGATCCTAATATAATTGGCTGAGTAGGCCTTATACATTAGGTTATGTGCTTATATTTCGCAAAGCTTTGCTTTGGTGTATCACTCTCAACCCGCTGGCAAAATGTGTACTTTGAAAGCGAGCTACTAAGACGAGATATTTCGAAGGAAACATGAGTACCATTTTTTCCCTGTAATTGCTGTTAGAATAATAGCCCTGTAAATGAGAATCGCAGCCATTTTTTCTAGTATGAATTAGTTCCTCGTATATTCTAACTTATGTCAATAGTTGGGAGAACACGCATGCCTGTATACATACTGCATACATACTTATACATCACTGCAAATGTGATACAGGGGATTTCAATTTCACTGTAGTTTGATAATTAGCACATCGTTGTTTACTTTAGTTTCTGTTAATGTTTTTTAAATAGTAATGAGTATTTAAAATTTGGTTAATTTTATCAGGAATCGAAGACATTTTCCCTGTGTATAGTTTCTATAATTCCAGAATTGCATAACCACAAATAAAACAATATTTTATTCTTTTTGTGTCTAACTTTCATTGCCAAAGGGAACTATCCAATCGAGGGTATTCGTTTTGTATATTCACACGGTCATTTCGAATTCTACAAAACGAAGACCCTAATGATTTCGTGTCATTTGGAGTCTGACAAGGCGTTGTAGCAAGGGTCTTCGTTGTAAAGATTCAGGGGGTTTTTTCTACAAAACGAAGACCCCCTTGATTTCGCGTCAATTGGCTTCTGACAAAGCATTTTAGTGAAGGTCTTTGTTTTATAGATTCAGGGGGTCTTTTCTACAAAACGAAGACCCCCTTGATTCCGCGTCAATTGGCTTCTGACAAGGCATTTTAGTGAGGGTCTTCGTTTTATAGATTCAGGGGGTCTTTTCTACAAAACGAAGACCCCCTTGATTTCGCGTCAATTGGGGTCTAACAAAGCGTTTTAGCAAGGGTCTTCGTTTTGTAGATTCAGGGGGTCTTTTCTACAAAACGAAGACCCCATTGATTCCGCGTCAATTGGCTTCTAACAAAGCATTTTAGTAAGGGTCTTCGTTTTGTAGATTCAGGGGGTCTTTTCTACAAAACGCTATTTTCACATCTGTTTGCGCTGAGGAACACTTTGGCTTGGTTTTTTAACTTTCCGTGCCTTATTCGGGCAAAAAAATTAGGGTCTTCGTTTTTCGGTCTTCGGTCTTCGGTCTTCGGTCTTCGGTCTTCGGTCTTCGGTCTTCGGTCTTCGGTCTTCGGTCTTCGGTCTTCGGTCTTCGGTCTTCGGTCTTCGGTCTTCGGTCTTCGGTCTTCGGTCTTCGGTCTTCGTTTTGTAGACACCCTCTGACGAGGGTATTCTTGAATTGCAAAGAAATATCAAATCATGGTTTGAGCACTTTCTCAAAGTTTACCAAGCAAAAGATGTCACTCCCTACATGCATACACTATGTTATCATGTTCCTGAGTTCCTGTCACTCTATCAGAACATTGCATATTACACACAGCAAGGCTTGGAAAAATACAATAATAGAGCTTCTAAAGATTTCTTCAGATCCACAAATCACAAAGGGGTTCATGCCTTCAAACAACTGTTTCTGAAGAAAAACAGGATTCAGTTCCTGGAGGCAGCAGGTTATGAAAGGGTTAAGAACACCTACCAATGCAATAACTGTTCAAACAATGGCCACGACATCAAGACATGCACATCATCATGCAAAAATTGTCCAGCTCCAGTTTGCTGTGCACATCTTGTGAAGGAAGGTGGCAAATGGATTCCCAGATGCCAGCTTCAATATTAACCAGAGTAAGTTTAGTTTTAGTTTCATTAGTTTCATGTTATAAAATATGTCATTTAGTTCTTGAGGAAGGATTTCTTGACCCTGATCTTGCCTTAGTTTGGTCCAATGTTAGTCAGGATCAAAACATTTAATACTACTAGTACCCTTAAAATATCACCTTTAATTTCTTTGCCAAAATAGGCCATTTTACAGTTTATTCAGTAACCCAGCCTATGAATTAACTAGCCTTTATTTACACAAGAAAAGCAAAGGGGTTTGTATCGAAACAAGATCACCAGCAACCTCGCTTCCAGCCATAAGCCAGGTGGCTCAGCCACAACTGTAAAATAATATTGGAACTTTTGATTGTGAATCTCAAGTTTTTGGCCAAGATGCTATATAGTGTTTAAACAATGGATTGTTATTTCATCTGTTGGCATGGTAGTTGTTCCTGTTACCATCACCTCTCACAAACTGAAATGGAATAAAGCTGTTTTCAACTTGTGTTCTAGCATATTGTTCCCCGATGAGCTTGTATTCAATGATTGTACTTCTTTGTCCCATCCAATACTTAATAGTTCTTGGAGTTACATAGGCAAAATCTTCAGCTACATTTAAAATTCTTTCATCCCACTTCAGCCCCAGATATGAATCAAGCACCCTATTTGACTCCAATTGGTAAACCATCTTCCCTCTTTGAAGAACGTCGGGCAAAACACTCCCAAGACCTTCCATGAAAACATCTTGGTCAACATTAAGGTCTATGTTTATATCAGGGTCCTCTCGCCGTCCAGACCAAAGCTTTTTTATTTCACGAGCAAGTTGGCCATGGAACGATTCTTTTCTATCCTCTAGAGAGTTTTCCGAGGGAATGAAAAGCTTTTCGCTGCAAACAAACGGAAAATATCCAGATCCTCTATCGGCTCTGAGGGGTCTCCATTCATCGAAGCATGTGCTATAGCCAACGTAATGAATTTTCAACCTCTCTTGTTGATTTTGTCAACCTCCCTGATCTCAATATCATACAGTTTTGTATCTTTCTTTCGTGGATTCGCCTTTCTAACGGGGGTGTATATTAAGCATTTATTGCAAAATCGTTTGGCTTTCTTATTTCCCTCTTTGGCCTGTCCGCCATTTTGAAAATTCCCAACGGAGAGCATGCGCATTACGTAGGGTTAGTGGTCGCGTACACTTGGAACTGAGAAAAACAAATGTTCGTCGCGCTGATGGAGAAAGAGTTTGATATGGAAGACGTCCCCGCATAGGGTTGCCATTTTTTTTCTTCGCGTTTCATGGATTGTATTACCCAAGTGAGTTCGAGTAGCCTATTTCCCGCGAAAAGATAGTCTAAAACTAAACTGTTCTATAAAAAGGCCGTGACATGGGCCCAGTATGGGGGTTGAAGTTTTCGCTAGCAAGTGCTCAGTATTTTTTTAACGAAAATTATGGCCGCTATCTTTGATTGTAACAGCAGCAGAAGGCTGGGAAGAGAAAGAAATCTCTACTAGGGGGGCAGTTGACGGTCAAAAATAAGGAGAGGAATGGGGTGGGGGAGTGAAGATTGCTTTTCTTTCGCTCATTCCCCGCTCCCTACCCCCACCGTCTACTCTAACTCCAAATCAAACATGGCCGGTCGGATAAACGATCGCGAGCTTAATTATAACGTTAGCTCGCCCTCATAAGACGCCTGCACTGCAGGATAAATTATTGTTAGTGGTGACGACTTCTATGCGTCTGTCCTCTAAAAGATCATAAGTAAGAACCTGTCAAAATGCCTGTATAACTTACTTTATCATAAAAATTCTATTCCTATCGTGAAAAATGATAACGTATATGTGTGTGTGTTTAAATTCCCCACCTCCACCCAGGCAAGGTTCCAATTTCCCCAAGTAAAGATGAGTAAAAGGGTTAATAGTGAATAATGAGCTTGAGATGTCTTGTAGGAAAATTTGATGAGTGCGAGGTGTGAATCACCTATCACGTATGGAAATCAAGAGCGAATAATCTAATCGTTTTATATTAAATCTACTAGTCGTCCAAACTTAAAAAACTGGCATATACTTGTATTTCATTTTGGTTCCCAAACGCACACTGGTAGGTTACTCACCTCTTAACGCGGAATAGAGAGCGAGTAGCGTGGCCAATCAGATTATTGCGTTTTGATAAAACTTGAGCTGCACAACCCCATTTAGTTTCTAACGTTCGACAGTTACAACGTTTGGCGATCTCTGACTTTATGAGCAACTTTTTCTCTCAATAGTTACTTTTGTACCCGTTCATCGTGAGTTATCCCTCTTCAGCACTCGAATTAGAGAAAAAATGCTTCAGTCTTCATTTGTGTTTAGCACATTGTCAAAAGTCTTTCTCTCTGAGTCGACTTCGGTGTTCTACTCCCTCGTCATTTTTTGCGTGCGTCAATTAACAGATGAACACAAAACGCTTCACTCAATCAAGTGATCTTTTATTTCCCCACTTTAAGTCTATCCACTGAAAGTTCGTCAGAAATACTTATGCGGACCTTTTTTAAAAATAGACTGACAATCCACACAACACTTAAGAAAACTACACCATTTATCACAATTATTAAAAGTTTGATAATTCTTCCCTTCAACCCGAGTATGAAAAATTTAATAACTTACTAATTTCTTATGTGAATGAATTCCTCGTGTCAAAATTCGTAGGCGAAGATTGGCACTCTATCGCTGGATCAATATTAATATCTGGGCAATTGCGCACCTACCCCTCCCCTAACCCAACATTAACCCAACATTAACCCTAACTTGTTATCAATTGACTGTTGTTGGGTTAGGGGAGGGGTAGGTGGGCAGTTGCCCAGACACTGATATTGATCCCTATCGCTAAGGCTCATGTATAAGATGATTGTTTACATGTCTTACTTATACTCTAGACCATTGTGATACGGTGACTTCAGTATAAAGCAGCATAGGCAACCGGCAGATTCTTCCATTCTCTTACTTTTCATGTCTGCAATTTCATGTAACTGCTTCTAAGACACTGATAAGCAATACCCTTGAAAAAATTGATCATAAAACTTGCATCTTTACCATCTTTGAATATGGAAGCGATCTTAGTAATAAACACCTGTCGTGAATTTTTTTTTTTTCAAGCCTAATTTTTACTACTGACTAAGTAGTGTTTATTACTGCGAAGATCGCTTCCATTTTCGTTTCTTTATCCGCAGTTCACACATATGATTTACATATGTTCACAGTCATTTATTTACTCTCTTTTTGGATGAATTCCAATCAAAACCAAACAGGGGACTGTAATATGAGGTTCTCAAAGGGAATAACCGATCATTTGGTTGTTAGGCGTAAAAACTGACAAATTTTAACCGTTAGACGTAAGAAAAGTTAACTGTAAAACAAATTTTGGGTGACAACAATGGAAAGATATTAACCGTTTACCGTTAACCGTTAAAGAAAAATATTAACCGTTAACCGTTAGCCGTAAAATGGCCAGAATTTTAAATGTTAGCCGTAAAAGCCATCACTCCATTGAGAACCTCTTATACTCTAAATGTGGCAAAACTAAGACCCAAAGACACTTTTAATATGAAGTCTTACACAGACCTTGCCTCCTGAGAGGTACTATTTTTATCTCCACTGCTTGATGAAAACTTTAAAAGTTAAAGTCTTTATAGCTGTTAGGTCTCATGTGTTCAGAAGTATTCCGTACAGCTCAATTCCAGATAGGTATATTCCATATTTACCAGAAGAATTTCCACCTGTCTGTAAAATTCTAAAAAAACGAAAAGCCGGTATTCCCTCTTCGACAGACCACGTACCTGTATAAAATGGAGGAGGAGTGGCGAACTGTGAATCCTTCCCGTTGTAAATAGTTTTAAGTTTTTCCCAGTTCTTTCCATCATGAGATCCCTCTAGTTGCCAATCGGTAAGTGCTGATTCTCCATACCTTTTGCCTTGTCTCAAAGAGTAGTGTGTGACTACGAGTCGATGGCTCAAGCCCAGATCAATGGACCACCATGAATTTGCGCTTTCCGCTGTTTCCCTGATGGCGCTTTTCTCGTGGTTTAATGTTACTTGCCCCTCCCGGACCATCAGAAGATCTAAATGCGTGCATTTTTGCAGAAGCATCTCTCTTTAGGAAGCACATGACGCCAGGACAGTTGCCGGTAAATTCATTTTCAGTTGGTAAGAAAATGTCTGAGAGTAACGACGTAGCCTCTTTCCTGTAATTTCGTTCATCAGGTTATCAATCTACCATTTCGTTTCCTTATTCATCGATTCAATTGATCATTTGTTCATTTATTTAATTTTGGAGATAATAAAATGATTAAGAGACAGCGCGCACTCTGATCCGTCACAACCTATCACCTATTGTGACAATTAACCAAGAAATTATTATCCATTGCAGTAAACCCGTAACCATGCCACGAAAGTAATGGAACGTAGTTTCTCTTGGTCACTTCTTGGTCACTATTCTTCTACTTACACCTTTCAAATTTTTTTTTTCGTTTCTCTCAAAAAAAATTGTAAGGGAGTATTACCTCATAATAAACTGGTCAACTCGACGCTTCAACACCTACCCCCTCGGCAACCCACGGGGATTCGACCGTCATCCCTGCCCGGTGAGAGGAATTTGAACCAGGAGATGTCAAGTCTTTCTGGCGGAATACAAGTGTTTTATCCTTAAATATGGAGGTGTTTTAAAATAATTAGTTCACTTTCGCCAGCCAATGGTTAAGAAGAAAAGGTCTACAAGGTCCAGGTTTTAAAGCTTGGTCAATATGTGGAAAGTCACGGTCGCTGATTTAATTTTGCATTTTACAAAAAGAAGGGACCTTCAAATTCGGCGTTTGGGAAGGACATTTGAACACAATTTTTGGCCCCGGGGGACCGAAATTTGAATAAACAAATCTTCAGAAGTTTAAATCACCGGAGGGTTACGGGGGGGAAGGGATGTTGAAGCTTGGAATAAATCGACGCATAAATCGTGAGGAATTGAAGTTCGGTCTATTATTGATTAAAAGTCGAACTACTGTCCCGTTCATTTACCATCAAACATGTTATGTTTAATGATAAATGAATGTTATTTTATGGTGTTAAGGTTAACACATGGCCAAACAACCTTAAAATGAAACAAATAAGCAGCGGATACCACGGCACATTTATCTTTGTTAATACATACTTACAATTTTTGTACTTCTTAAGCTCCTCTTGTAACCTCTTGCATTCTGACTCGGAGCTTTTCACTTTTCTGTTAAGCTCCTCTATTTGACTCAACAGGACACCATTTTGAGTCTTTAGCTGATTCAGCTCCTCTGGATCTTTTTGAACTTGTAATTTCAATCTTAGTTCCTCCACCAGGGTTTCTAGCTCTCCAATATGTTTCTTCATTTGAATTTCTAACTTCAATTTTAGTTCTTTATTCTCGGCTTTTAGCTCTCCAATCTGTTTCTTCATTTTTTTCTTTTCTTCGATAAGATCTCTTTTCTTCTTCTTAACCTTTTCATTTTTTCTTTTCAACTGTTCTATGTTCTCTAGTTGGCTTTTATTTGTTCTCTCCAAGTCAGCGATTTTAGTGTTGTTTTCTCTGATTATCTCATCCTTCCTTTTCATGTCCGTCCTATTCTTTTCTTTTTCTGCTTTTTTCTTTTTCTCCTTTCTTTCGAGTTGGCTGATTTTGTTTTTTAATGTGTCGTTTTCTGTTTTTAAACCGTTGAGTTCCTTCTCCAAATTAGGACATTGCAAACATCTATTCGTTTCTAAATAAAAAACCTTCAGATTAGAATAATTCAATTGATATTAACATTACGTCAATGACAACTTTTATAAAAAAAAAAATCAGTGAAGTAGCGATCGGACAACAGCCTTGGATGAAGGAAAAAAGACAAACTAGAATTACAGTAAAAGACAGTGAAACAAATGAACTGAACACGATCAGACCCCTCACTAATACTGTAAAAGTTAAAAATTTGTATAAACAAAGAAAGATGACACATTTGACATTCCCAGTCCCTAACGGTAGTAACTTTTCTAAACTGATTGATCAGTATATTAAAGTTCTAAACGCTGCAACAAGAGGTCCTTTGATCACTAATTAGCGACCTTTTTTTTTGACGAGGTGTAAATAGGCGTCAGGAAGCAAACCGCCATCGTCACGATTTAAAGGAGCGTGGGCGGAGTTAATATGCCAAGCCTCCAAACAAAGGCGCTGGTGGTAACGCCGATTAGTGGTGATAATTTTAGAATTATCCCACCCAATTGTATGGTTAGTTAGGCATGTATGCTCCGATCATGTATGCTCTCTTGATCAGTGTCTACACACTTTGCATACTTTCCTAATGAATATCGTGCTTCATATTTCATAAGATTAATTAAGAAACAAATGTTGTCATTAGAATAACACTTAGTGATCACTAATCGTCCAATCTCAGCTGACTCGGTTTCAGTTGAACAAGCCGAGTTGTATGTTTTCCTCTTTCCTTCTTTTTTCCTCTTAATTCCTTGTCTTCTTACCTTCTTCCTGCTTTAACTTTAGCTAGATGATTTTTGTTTTTAATGTTTCTTTCTCTGTTTTCATATCACTTAGTTTCTTTTCCAAATTAGGACAACGCGAACACATTCGGCTTTCTGTATAAAAAGAATCTCCAGATTATCATCTTTAAAATTACTCAGGTTAAATCATTATGATACCAATGAGGACCTGGCTGCCAAAACTTGAAGCATTCACACAGCGGTCATTGTACCAGCAGGAACCAAATTAAAGCCGATCAGACAAAACGTTCGCATTAGGGATTGTAGAAGACACCGTAAGGAGGGATTGTACCTAAAACTAGTAAGTGAGAATTGGGACAGTGTCTTAAACTTAAATGATGTCGAGGAGTCAGTGAATAATTTGGAAGCAAAAATTAAACACCACATAGATGAGTGTATGCCGTTGTGGTCAGTACGCATGTCATCGCGTGATCCGGTGTGGATGACACCCTTAGACAAATCGTTAATCAAGTCAAGAATAGGTAAAGTCAAGAATAGCTCCAAGCAAAAAAGATCGGCTGGCTGAGGTTAACAGGAAAATAAGCGAATTGATTAGTAAGAACAGAAGAACACTCGCAAAGGCACCTGTCGGATCCAGAGAATGGTGGAAGCATGTAGATAACTTGTCCCAACAACGCAGCATTTCTGCTAACATGACATTGGACACTAAATCACTGGAGGAGCTAAACGACTACTTCGCCGATTTGTGCACTGATGACGCATATACGAAGCCTGTACCAGCTATTGTGGATAAGAGCTTAGAAGCCCCTCAGATATCAGAAAGACACGTGTGGAAGTGCCTACAACATCTGAAGAAAACCGTTATGGGACCAGATCTCATTCCCTTTTGGATTTGGAGGGATCACGCTGAGATCTTCACAAGTGTCATTCATAAGATCTGGAATTTTTCCCTGAAAACTGGCAATTGGCCCTCCTCGTGGAAAAGGGCCCACGTGACGCCCCTCCCTAAGATCGACATCCCTAAGGGCAAGCAGGACTTCAGAGGAATTAAGATCACGCCCGTAATTGCACGCGCGTTCGAGAAATCTGTGTATAACACCCATACACGAGACATTGTCGAACAGCATCTGAGTTCAACACAGTTTGCTTATACGACAGGGGGGAGTTGCACTGATGCGCTCTTGAGTATGCAGCATACCATCTACAGCTATTTAGACGAGCAAGACTGCAAAGCCGTCCGAGTATTTGCAATGGATTTTAGTAAAGCGTTTGACTGTGTCAATCATGAACTCCTGTCATCTAAGCTTAGGCAGTTGCCATTGAATCCTCTTATTGTGAACTGGTATTTAAGCTTTCTCGAGAAACGCCAGCAGCGAGTAGTTAATAATGGTTTTGAAGGACAGTGGCGTGAGGTTAGTAGGGGTACGACACAAGGTAGTGTCAGTGGGCCATATCTTTTTAACGTGTTTATTAATGACTTGGAGATCAATCTAGAAGGTCGCCCAGCCTTGTTTAAATATGCTGATGATTTTACAATTATCGTCCCCTTTTGGGGAAACGGCCAGTGTCGCACTGACTTGGTGGATCAGTTTCTTAGCTGGTCCAGCCGCAATCGCATGACATGCAATCCAACAAAATGCAAGGAGATTATTTTCCGTAAGAAAGGTTTCAGTCAGGACATCGCGTCAGTTAGTAATATACTGCAGTGCGCAGAGTTATCCATATTAGGTGTTACCTTCCAACAAAATTGTAAATACAGTAGTCACGTGCGCGCGAAGGTAATTGAGGCGAACAAGTCATTATTCGTATTAGGATCTTTACGTAAGGAAGGAATGTCACAGGAGGAAGTAGATCACCTTTTTAACGCAATAGTTTTACCAAATTTTTCTTACGCTCTGCCGGTTTATGGTGACTCAGATTCCGACCTTTCTGTAATACAGAATTTTTTAAACCGGTGTATGAAAAGAAAGTTTATGTCCAAGAATGTAAATATCAGGGATTTGCTAGAGAAGGCGGACAAGACACTCTACAAAAAAAGATCGAATGACCCCGAATGCCCGTTCTTTCAGTTTTTACCTAAGGAAAAGAACATGAGGTACAATCTTAGAAATACGTCAGTCTCTGTCCCTAGAATCTACACTGACAGGTTTAAGAACGTTTTTAGCAACAGAATAATTTTTAGATATGATATGTAAATAGTTTTTTGAGTATATATTGTAACTTAGGATATGTGATTTTATCTAAAGAAATAAAGATTATCATTATTATTATTATTATTATTATTATTATTCGTATTTCTTTAAAAACCCAGCCAAACAAAATCCTTGCTGAATCAAAGAGATAGTATAAGGCACTTAGCATTATATAAATGCCCTAATATTCAGCTCAACTTTAACCAAAATAAAAAAAAATATGCAGTCTGACTTCCTCAGATTACAGAAAAGACAACAACTAAAAGAACGTTACTAATAAAAATCATGATAGACTGTAAAACAAATGACTGAATTGAACAAAAAAAATTTACTATTATTACAAATATCAAAACATTTGGCAAGAACTAGACATCGTGTCACATTTTGTATGCAAAATCTCACAGTGGTGATAATGAGATTTCCTGAGGGTTGTCCAACACCACGGCTTGAAACAAGTCGTCTAATGTATTCACGAGTCGTACGATTCGTCGATTCATGAATATTCATTACGGAAAGGCTGTGTTGTCGATTCATGAATGTCATAAGGGAGACATATATTTTTTCACCACTTTGAGAGAACTGAACCCAGATGGTGGTGTGTCGATTCGTACGAGTCGTACAAGTCGTCGATTCATGAATATTCATTACGGAAACCATGGAAACGATATGCATCATTTATTTCTGTGGCAACCATTCAAATTTGTTCGATGCGTCAGTAATGGTGAGCGTCTTCACAGACAACGTTATTTCATCGAGGCTCTTGTTTGTGTTACATTTTATCGGAGAAGGCTTTTGAACAGTAAACGACTTCATAAGAGTCGCGAAGCGGTACTGTTTTGGAATCATAGAGGATGACAAAGGAGAGGGGCAGGTTTCCGTTGAGAAGTTTCGTAGTGAAGCAGAAAGCTTGCTGTTCCTTAACAGCCAGGTTTTATGTACTCATTATAACCTTTGCTTTAAGGAGCTTCATCAATCACCTTCGATGTCAGGAGTACCTATGGGTACCATCTTTATAACTGAAAGGTAGAAATGTAGGTTTTGCCAAAAGTCTGATTTTGAACGGAAAGTCAAACGTTGTGGTTAATCACAGCGAATTTGGAATTTGGAACGTTACGTGAATTCGATGTTTCGTCACGTGCGTTGAATTTTGCATACGATTGAAAAAAAGAGTTCGCATTACTGTTATTTGTTATTTGATAAAAATAAAAATGGTTATCCTTTTCCTTTTACAAAGTGGCGTTGTCGATGGATATTCCATTTAAGTAATCTTTCACACCAATTATTATTATTTTATTGCTGCTAAACAACCGGTGTCAAAAGCCGCAGTCAGATGCTTACGCGAAACGCTAAGGGTATGCCTTCGAAAATTGGCCGGATCTTATCAAGTGCATTCTTAGAAAAACTTATAAGCATTCTTTTTTCTTCCTTAACCATCGTTTCAACGGTCACGTTGTATGTATTCGGTGTTCCGACGCGTGCGTCGAATGTGCTGCTCATTAATATTGCATTGTATTGAAACTGAATTCGCATTGGTTGTTATTTGATAATAATAGAAATTTCTATCCTTTTCCTTTCACAAAATTCTGTAGAAGTTGCAATTTGTAACAAATTATAGGAGACAAATTTTCTTTTAAAATAAAATTATTTCTGAATACCACCTATGAAAGTCAGAAAGAAATTATTTCATTCCCAGCCGACCCTCCAGCCCAAAGGGCTTCGAAAACACCATTCCTAAAGGAAATTATTTGGTCCATTTTGCGTAGTGCTTTTTGCTAAGACGAGAAATGCAGTGGTTGTTTGTGCATTACGAGCAGGGCTTTTTTTTGGAACAAAGAGGAATAGACTTGTTATTTGTGTACTGCACGCGGTGCTTTTAGAACGAGGAATACTTTGGTTTTTGTGCACTTCGCACGGTGCTTTTAGAGCTAGGAATACTCTTTGTTTGTGCACTTCACGCAGTGCTTTTAGAACGAGGAATACTCAAGGATCTTCTTGTTTGTGCACTTCGCGCGGTGGTTTTATGGTGAAAAAATCTCCCTAATGACATTCATGGATAGACAGCACAGCCTTACGACTCGTTTCGCTTCCATGGTTTCCGCAATGAATATTCATGGTTCGACGAATCGTACGACTCATACGAATCGACGTACCACCATCAGGGCTCAGTGGTGTGAGATGAAAAACTGTTAATCTCCCTAGTGAGGGGCACGGGTCGTACGACTCGTGAATACATTATACGACTCGTGAATATATTAGACGACTCGGGAATATTTTAGATGACTCGTAAATACATTAGACGACTTGTATCAAGCCGTAGTATTGGACATACTTGGAGGGAGGCATGATCGTTAGCAAAAGGGTCAGGGGCATGCTCTCCTGCACATTTCTTATCTTTTCTAAATGCCTTTAGATTCGTTTGAAAATAACAAACGTTTTTAATTTAAAACTTTTATTGACGTTTCTACTCTTGAGAAACTGATCCGTTTAAACTCATTATCAATAAATCCAGAATAAAATATGCCACACTCTTCCATTATTATTATTTACAATTATTATTATTTACCCTATAAATAACAAAGCCAGTTATTTTGCCCGCACTACAACTAATCAATGGTAAATAAAAGGTGAATTACGCTACATGGCAACTAAGGGCCTATTAATTAATAAAAAGAGAAAAAGAGACCGCGTACATGGCTGTTATCAACTATCTGTCAGCACGTGACTCACAAATTTCCCATTTTCTAAGAGCTTTGCCCATCATACAAAGCTAGTTAAAGTACGGACATTTGTGAGTCTTTATAACTGTAAGTTAAATGCGCGTTTACTTTGTCAATGCAAATGCAGCTTTTCTCCCTTACGCACACTAATGTTTTGCCAATTTCAAATTCGATTACTTTCTTTAATATTGCTTAAGGCCCCCAAGCCTCTTCCCCACCAAGGTGCCCGCTACATGAAGGACTTGCCTCTGTTTCAAGGAGAAAAACGCGTCCTCTTACAGGTATAAAACCAAGTAATTCGTTCATCATCAAATTTCAGTTGATCCCCTTAAAAGACCCTAGAAGGGTACTAATGTGACGTGGCTCTCACAATTTTGTGCATTATCAACTTACCATCCCTCAAAGGTTGTCTTTGTACTCCATCCATTGTTGCAGCCTCTCGTGTTTGGCTTTCCCCACGTACTGCTCCAGCGCAGCTTGACCTTTTCTTTACAGTTCTCCTTTCTACGTAAAAAGAGGCAAAAGATATGCAGATATACATGGTAGTAAGGTTGCTGGCTCTTCAAGCCGTTAACATTGTCCTAGCAATTATTCAAATGCTGGCATATGCAATTGCAGTGGTGAACTAGTTCAATTTTCTTCAATTATTTTGAGGAGATCTGACTCGAGTGTAAGGGCTTTAAGCTTCCACGACTATGCTTCAACCTTAAAAACCGTGCGCAGACACAACCCTAAGATACCCCTTTCTTGGTTTAACTTAATATAAAGGCACCGCATGTGCTTACCGTTGTATAGTTGTAGAGTATTGCAGTTGAAAAACAACATGGTATAAAATGTAAAGGTGTAAATGAAAAGCTCTTGTCAAAGCCAAAATTTTCACAAAAAGAGGACTTGTCTAGAACAGACTTATGCACTGATAAATTGACAGGCCAAGGGCAGGAAATTAATCCAATAGGTTCATGTATTGAATGCCTGTCAAACACATAACCTCACCAACATTTGCACGCTATTCGTACCCAGCAGGATGGATATACCTACTCCTTTCGAGTCCGAAAGTATGATCTTAAGGTTCGAGCCCTGGCCGCGTCAACTTTCTGTTGTCTTTTCTCTTCTTTTTCCCTTTTTTCCTTTCAATTTCCATTCTTCCTCAAAGGATATGTTAGAATGTTCAGAGTAAAACGCACATGTGAGAACGTTCGACGACATATCTTTTACCTTCAAATCGATAACAATGTCAAAATGCAGAGATGAGACCCTGAGAATACATCGAACTAAACCCGACAAAACTAAAAATAAATCCGAAGAAACCCGATCAGATTCGTTCAATGATGGCCAGTGTCTAAGCTGAACCAGGACGAGTCACAAGAGACGTTATGAGTGTCTCATGACTCGACATGATACTCTACCATTTTGAAAACCGCGAAGGTCTTGAGGGAAGTTTACGGACTTGTACGACACAGTACACGTAGCGCCTCCGGCCATCCTACAGGGAAGTCACAGCAGGCGCAGCGTGATCGAAGCCTCCTTGACAAGGCTACGAAGACTTTCGTTCGAAGATATTTTCCTACACAGTTGTTTAGTTTTTTCGTTATTAAAGTAAATAGATCTAGATAAACCCGATATTGAAAGATTTCCTTTACAAGAGGAGATTACATACCAAGCAGTTTTTCGACGACATCTCTCCTTTCTATCTCTTCAAGAGCAATTAGAAGGATTTCCACTGTTGCTTCTTTCCCTTTTTTTTGTTTCCACTTTAGAAGCACTTTCCGTGCCTTTTCACGGCATGCTTGGTGAACTTTATCAATATCATCCATAGTGTCTGATGCAATCCCTAAGACTGTACCCAGGTCTCTCCAGTCTACGCCTACTGCACCACATATTGCAAATATCTGGATTTCAGTGACAGAGGCCTTTTTAAATGGTATATCACTAGGGGTGGCTGCAAAACAAGTAAACATCATCTGAACAAAAATTATGGCTTAAAAAGAGCCGCAACAATTATAACTGCGAACACCGTATTTATTAATTACAAGTAACGACTTGGAAGGGATATTGAGTAACACTGATACCGTTTTATGAATTTATGAACATAAAAACCTTTATTGCTGGCTTCTGTACCATCCATCCGTCAAAGAAAATCGGTATTGAATCCCGTTTTGGTTATTTCCAGCTTCTGACTTGGCTAAATTAGATAAAGGAAAGAAAAAATACACTTTTGTAAGGATTGCAGTTAATCCACGATCAAACCTTCTGTTTTATCTTTCGGGGAACTCAAGGTAAAGTATTGTCCTACTTCAGAAAAAGATGGTACGAATTATATCAACAGGTACTTTTATCGCTCGTATTGAACATATAAGCAGTTGAAACTTCTTAATCTACACTTTATATATCGATTCCAATTAGGAAGATTATGTTTTTAATTGTTCAAGATAGGTCGTCTTCCCGATGTTCTTAAAAGATTATTTACGTTTTCAAGTAGTATTCATTGCTATTACACCAGACAATGCAACTCCTTTTATATACCCCCTTCAGAATAAATATTAGACAGTTTGCGTTAGGTTTCCAAGGACCTAAAGTTTTCAATTTTCTCAATATAGAAATACAAAATACTTTCCCTATCTAAGTCTAAATTGCGAACATTACTCCTGAGTTGATTTCCTTCTTCCTTTTTGTTCATTCTTTTCTCAAGCTGCTTAAAAGTAGCTTGAATGTTTCTTTGAGTGCCTGTTGTTTTCTGTGCGTGGGTTCTTTCCTTTTTATCCTAGAATATTTTATACCTGAATCACGCTATTTAACTAATACCTCACTTTTGTAAAATATGAGAAGCCCGTAGCCCACATAAGCTTCTTGATTTCTCTACAGGTTTCCTCGCCAAATGTTAAGTTTTCAATAATATTATGTTATATTATGTTATATTATATTAACGTATTAGTAATTCCTTTTATTTCTGATGTATTATAATTGAAAAATGGCAGGATAAATAAATAAACAAAGATAAACAATAAACAAGCAATAATGCTACAAAACAAGAGTTGACGGTCGAGAAAACGAGAAAAAGTGATAATGTGGCGGTGCAAGAGTCATTGGTCGGGTATTATCACGCTTCCCAGTAAGAAATCTCGTAAAGGAATTTTGGCCCGTGGATGTTCGTTTAAATATGGATTTTTTTTTTTAAATGTCACATTCGTACCTTCAGAGTTTTGAAATTCTTCCAATGCACAAGTTATGGCCAGATGCCACGTAATTTCACAAACCATTCATTTTACCCGCTTCAGTGGTTACGAATGATTGATTATGTGGGGCATCCTGTACGATGGTAAGTATCATCTTTGGACAGTCATAAATTGTTTCAATTTCTTCAACATTCCAGAGCCCCGTTGGTTTTGATTTTTCATTTTCTCACAACTTCTCACTCTGTGAAACAGTCTCGCCTCCCTATATCCTATATGGTACAAAGGGGTCAAACCTGCGATGATAATGAATGAGATGCCAGTAATCGGATCCTTATGTTTGCGCAAAGATTTCTGGGATCGCCAAGGGGCAAACATTGCAAGGTGTTAGAAGGAAATCAGATATAGCGAAAGGTTGTTTCGACGTCAAAAAAACGATTTTGGAGAGAGATCAATGCTCTTTCGCTGCCAGTCTCATTATAAACGGATTAAGATAATGTTGATACGAGGGAAGTGAAGTTTTTTGTTGGCATTACCACTAAATATGTTATAAAACACACCGATTAACTTCTCTTCTTGCGAAAGATCTGTTGTGAAATCGTCATCGCGTAATGGTCTCGACATATTAAAAAAATTAGCCATAAATCGCAGGGAAATAACTCAGTTAAGTCTTTTCAGTTGCATTTTTGTACGTAAAGCCTGTTTTTATACTTGTCAACGTATTGAATAAACAATTTACGATGTCTGAAAATATACGTCCTTAAAGAAGAGAAGCCGTCGTCCGGCAGCGGAGATGGAAATTGTTTTTGGAAAGATGAAACAAGCAGTAAAAAACAAAAGGAAATCCCTAGGTCAAGGGACAGTTTGTCGAGAGAAATCCGAATGTTTTTGAGCCGCTACTTTTCTCTTCGAACTCCTCGGAGGGTCTTGTCAGGAAAAGCAAGATCACGGGAACTCCGGCAGAAAATGTGGACATATATTCAGTTGTGCATCGCTCCTTAAGCAATCCATTTGTACCTACTCATCGTCGCATAAGAAAGGGTTGAGTTTTGAGCCGATTATCAACGCTGGTTCGTTCTCATTGATCACAACAAAGAGGCAATGTAGGTGTTTAATCACTTAATGTATCCCGATAATATTTAATGCTCAAGCACACCATTTCAATTCTTGCTGCCTCGAAGTAACTGTTGTAGCGTTTTATGTTGTTGTTGTTTTTTAATTACCAAGCTAAGGAAAAAGCAAGAAGTAGACTTAACACACGTAAAAAAAACTGAAAAGGCTTTATTTGGTCATTTCATGGCGATTTATAATTAATATTTCCAAATCTCGAGATCATTACGCAATGTTAATTTCACCGTAACCCATGTGCATAAAGAACAGTTTATCGCTAGATTTTACTGAATATTTCACGGTTGTTCGAACACAACCTTGCGCTTCCCTCGTATCACTATTACCCACACCCATTCTTGATAAAACAGCGGCAAAGAAGCGATGATCTCTCACCAAAATCGTTTTTTTGGACGTTGAAAAAACCTTTCGCCGTACATTTCTCTCTAGCGAGTTGTAATGTTTGCCATGTGGCGATCCCAGAAATCTTTGCGCAAACAGAAGGATCCGATTACTGGCAACTTATTCATTATGAACAAAGTTTATTGAAGGTGGTTGCTATGTTTCTTTTCATTATGAAAGTTGTCCGCATATTATAGCAATTACGTCTACATAATCAATCGATTGAATCGCAGCATTTGTCTTTTCCCGGTATCAAGTTACCCTTCTCAAAGTATTATTTGATAAGGTACTAGCAAAGAGAATTCGGCAACGAAAAGCAGCTCTTGGCTGAGCTTTGCCCCTTGGTCGCAGCATTTTGTCACGTGTACAGTTGCTGTGCACTAATCTTCTGTTTGTTGACATTCTTTAATGCGGGCTACGAAGTATGACGAAGGGGATTAATAACAGAACACACTGTCGTAATATTTAAGTTGTCTTTCATGCCATTGCTGGCGTATTTCCATAGAACTAAATTCTAGTTTGGAAAACGATATCGTGTCACAAGAACCGACTTTTGTAAACATGAATTTGATAGGGTTTTTGGGTTCCTCTCCGATCTCGAACATATAAACTTTCTAGGATGAAGTCTCTACTTCCTCGTCTTGAGACACGCATACTTTAAACGGATGATAAGGTTCTCTTCATGCTAACAAATGACAACAAAATGTTGCTCTAGAGATTCTAAGGCCCCTCTTAGGTCGCTATAACTTGTCTCTTATGACTTTTTTCCCTGCCTGAGGTTGTCCACACGTCAGTGACTTTTACGTTATCGACAACAATCTTTTTCAAGACTACTCTCCCCCGGCGTTCAGACTACACGATCGACAGTTACTCCTAGGTTCAAACCATATACTGATTATTCTTAAGGTAAGGCTTACCGTTGAAATTGATCCTGACTGATTGCGCACAACAAAAGTAACTTTTCTATAACGTTTACGGCATTGCTCTTTTTTCATTGTTGTTGTAGCCTGTCGAGAACTCAAAGACCTATTGTAAACTCTGACGGATTTTGGTATATTTAAAGAGAAAATTTGCATTTGAATCAATGCATTTTTGCGATTCAGCAACTTCGTTACGATCTTCCTGTCATCACACACCGTTGAATACGGGCAACTCAAGGAGAAATTTTTGAATCAAAGAAACTAGTTCATAAGTTCGTATTCTGGTGAAGACTTGCCTACTTCACTGCTCAGTTAAAAAATTCAAACAAATGAAAAAAATTCAGTTACTAGATAACATCCTCTACGTGTGTAATTACGCTGACACAGTCAACCTTTTTATCATCCCATCAAACACTGACTAGTGTGTTCAAGTTCTTACTGTCGTTCATTCAACTTCAAGAGAAAAATGAGCAATTATTGCATGAGGTTGAGCATGATATCATGACTTATCAATGCCGAGGTTCGAGTTATCTGCCGAAGCCGAAGGCATGAGGTTTGATAATTCATAATATCATGCGAAAGCCGAGATCAATAATTGTTTTGTTGTACATTTTAAAAACATCCTGCTAACGGAGACATTACTCGGACGACGAGGCTTGGAAACCAGGTAGACTTTGAACACGACATGATATTATGTCATCTTCACCCGCTATTGGATATTATTATACATTCAACTCACTATCTCTTTTCTGATTCGCCGAAAGCGTACAGGGAATTTTCGAACGGGCGCGGAATTTTCAGTGTTTCAGCAGCCATTATCCGAAAAGATTCCGCCAAACGACCTCAGATTGAGAATGGTGAAGGCCTCGCCGTTCGCTCATCAACCTGGCCGTGTGGTGCGATAGGCGAGCGACGTGTCAGCAGCTGATTGGCGATATCAAACAGACGTAAAAATATACTATGTTTTTTCACGTGTGTCGTTTCGGCTTTTCTCAGGGCTGGAAATCCTTGTTTAACACCGTAGTTTACATGATAAATACTGTTCGCGGCGCGATCTACGTCTAAAATGAAGCCTCCTTGACAAGGTCACGAAGACTTTCGTTCGAAGATCTTCTCCTACATAGGTGTTCAGTTTTTTCGTTATGAAAGTAAATAGATCTAGAGAAACCTGGTATTAAGAGATTTCCTTTACAAGAGGAGATTACATACCACTCAGTTTTTGGATGACGCCTTTCCTTCCTATCTCGTTAAGAGCATTCATAAGGATTCCCACTATTGTTCCATTTCCGTTTGTTTCAGTCTTTCCAATTCTTAAGCTACTACGAGGAATTTCGTTACGAGGTGTTTGGCGCCCTCGTGGAGACACGACACTAAGTACTGATCAGGGTGCGTGGGCTTCCTGTATACGCTGATGGTGAGGCGGCCGTCAGGTTCTCTTGTTTGGTGTCATTCTCAGTCTCCTTGGTGAAGCGGGCTGCTGGTTGTTGCGATGCTGTAAGAAGTTATCGACGCTTCAACGATCCAGGATGGTAAAGTGTCGTGTAGATAGCGTTTCCAGATCCTAGGCTTGTAGGATGATGAAGTTATTGCCTGTTCTTCAAAACTCTCCATTTAGGGCCTAGCAATAACAGCGGAAACCGGGCTCCCCATAGCTGCGCCTTCTTGTTGATCGTAAATCGATCCATTATACTGGAAGTATGTGGATCTCAACACAAAAACCAACCAATCACAGCGGAGCATCCTGCTTTCTAATGATGAAGACTAGCAGAATGCAATCGAAACGTTGCGATTCATATCATAAGTGACCACATCGTGAGACAAACGATAATACTTTATCATTATTGTACTCTACCACGATGAACAAGCACAACCTTTTTTACGAAAGTAAACATCATTTGAGCAAAAATTGTAACTTAAAAAGAGTCGCAATAATTCTAACAAATGTATTGAAATTGAAAAATGGCGAAATAAATAAATAAACCGAGATAAGTAATAAACAAGAAATAATGCGACAAAACAAGAGTTGACGGTCGAGAAAACGAGGAAAAGTGATAATGTGGCGGTGCAAGAGTCATTGGTCAGGCATTATCGCGCTCCCCATTAAGAAATTCCCGTAAAGAAATTTGATAACAACTTTTAATGGAGAATATTTGATTTGGCCGGTGGAGGAAAATGAAGCTTAGAGATGAAAAAGGGAAAGAAGAAAAAAAGAATCCCCTAAAATTTGGTTGGCGCCTAACTTGTGGCTTGGTAGCTCAGTTGTTGTGTACAAAGGCTCTGTTTGTAAATATTCTTTCATGCGAGCCACGAAACATGACCAAAAAGAGTTGATATCGAAACACACAGTCGTTCCATTCATTTCGTCATTGAGAGAAATTGCAAGTTTAGAATGTAAAACCGCGTAACAACGATACTTATACAGACATGAATTTCGTATGATATTCGCGTTCCTCTCTGATCTTGAACATGTGAAATTCCTTTGGGATCAAGTGCGTACTTCCCTGTCTCGAGACAAGAACTTTTGAAACGGATTATAAGATTCTATCGATGCTGATCATAACTGGCAAAATGTTACCGAGGGGTACTAAGGCTCCTCTTTCTAAAATATTGTGGAGTGTCCTTTGCAGTTAACTACTTTACAAACATTAACTTTCTCGACGCACAAAAACCTGAAAAGGGCTCAAATTGAGCAATAGACCGAACCAACTTGCATAAAATCTTCATCAATAAGAAATGCACAGGTCTTGAAAAAAGTCAAGCAAAATTGTCTCGGAGACTGTTAATTCAATGACGTAAATAGAGAATAATACAAGGGCGCGCGTAGATATGGATTTCTCGGGTCAATACCAATATCTGGGAAACTGCCCACCTACCCCTTCCCTAACTCAACAATAGTCAATTGATAACAAGTTAGGGTTAATGTTGGGTCAGGGGAGGGGTAGGTGGGCAGTTGCCCAGATACTGATATTGATCCGATTTCTCTTCGAATGTTGAACTCGATAGTTCACGTGCGAGATGCGAGTTGAACACGAGAAGAAAACTTTTTTGTCATTTGTTTATCACATAAACACAAGAGCCCTTAATGAATGAAAATGAAAGGATCGATGATCCCCGCATAAAAATCGTCAAGTGCGTTGGCGCCCTCAAGATGAAAACATGCGTTGTATCACTACAAAAACAATGGGCCTAATTTTCAATATACAAAATTCTTATTTGAATTGGTCCTTACCGACAGAAGAAATCTTTCAGGTACACGGCCAAAATTGGCCTTTGGTAAATCATCCAGTTGTCGATTCTCGTTCTTAGCCGCGAGAAATGCCATTACCAAAGACACTGAATATGTAACTTTCGGTTTTTCCTCTTCATATTTTGGTTTCTTTTCCTTCTAGGCAAGTTTGAACGTCACTGTCTATAAGCGATAGGGATTTTTCAGTGTTTTAGCAGCCATAATGCGAAAAGATTCCGACAAACGACCTTGGATTGAAAATAGTAAAGGGTTTGCCGTTCATTCATCAACCTGACCGGGTGGCGCGAAAGGCGAGTGACTTGTAAGCAGCCGATTGGCGATATCATACACATGTGAAAAATATCGTATTTCACGTGTGTTGTTACGGCTTTTCTCAGGGCTGGAAATCCTTGCATAACACCGTAGTTTATATGATAAAGAGGGTTATCTGGAGGTCAATCTATTAATTACTTAGGAAATCCAGGGATGCACACTAAGCGTCAAACTGTTTAGAAACTTTCAATTTATGTTTCCTTTTAGAGAGATTCAGGTTTAAAAACTCTTTTCTTGTTAAGATCGATGTTTCAGACACAGATATTTGCTCCTTTTGCCAGATCACTCCGGAAACTAATTCACTAGTAATTCTGGGATCGCTCGATTACGCATTCTTAGTTCGGAATAATTTACAAGCGTTTCTGGTCTTTTCGCATTTCAGTCGATCTGTTAGATGTTCTCACGTTCTAGAATTTCCGAAATCTTTACGAAGAAACGTTATTTGATCTAGAGTACAAATCCCTTTGCAACTTGCCCATTAATCAAAAAATAACACGCGTTGTCTCAATTTCAAAGAGAATACTTTCAATTGTTATACACATATATAAAATGACGTGTGGAGAAGCCTATCAATACTTTAGTACCTGGATGTCATAAAAAGTTGTACCTCCACACTAAATACACCCAATACATGGCTTTTATACACGATTTAGCCACTTGAAAGTACGACACCAACGAATTCCGAGACAGAATTAAAAGGAAAAATAAAAAATACAACGCAGCCTTTATTCAGGGAAGCTTTCCCTGGTCTTATGATTGTTCCCCTCAACAGCGGATCCACCGTAGCATTCCCTTTTCTAGAGTAAAAGGTCATCAGGAAAAAGTCTATATCACAGAGAGGCAGCATGATTGATGTTGACCGTTCTGCTCTAATGAACTTTCAACAATGCTAGGTACTTCAAAAGTAAGTTTTCAAAGGTTGTTATGCATGTGCTCAAGTCCTCGCGCACTTTACCGAAATAGCAGGTTATGTACAAAGTGTAGAGAAGGACATTTAGGTTGAGGAAGAAAATAGCGTCGCATTCTCCGGATCCAAGGGTGACTCAGTATTTTCAGTGAGGCAATGGCTTCAAGAGTCGAATTGTCATCTACTTCAGGAAATTTTTGACGTCAATAATCAAGTTCAAAAACGTCGAATTTCAAATTAAAAAACAAACAAAAAACCGCTGCAGTTTGCGGCGAGTCTGCTGGCCACAGTATGTAATTTCGTGATATGTTTAATCTCAGATGTCACGTATTAGATATCTGTTTCTTTGCCCTCTTTCAATCCGCGTCTCAAAGTGTCACGAAGCATAAGAGAGAGGGATGTTATTAAATCACTTAGTCACTTAAATCACTTTGTTCAACAAAAACAGTGTTAAATGAAATTGCAGGATTATGTATGGAGACTTAAATGCTAGTTTGGAGATAAAATAGCATAACGAGAAAACTTCCACAAACATATATTTAATAGAGAATCGGACGATTTTGTGATCGTGATCGCTATTACTTCCCCATATCAGCTTTCTTCTTCTTGTCGCAGAGTGAGCTGATGGTAAAGTTCTCTTAACACTGAAGGAAACATGTTACCTAGAGGTATTTAGGCACCTCTCGACACCACCCAGCTGAAAAATTTACCCCTCATTTAAGTTGATCGTGATCCTTCTCCTACTGGTACTCTATAATGGTTCTCCATGCACTGACCTTTTACATCAACCGAACTTTCGAATGCGCTGCCATGGCGCATGTCTAATTTTCATGCAGTTGTAGATAAGAGAAGCACTATTTTTGTATTTGCACAGCTTTAGTAGATTTAAATAAGGCTGTTAAAACCTGCCTTGATGAGATTTAACATTTAACATGAGCGGTGAATTAGCCAAATGAAACAGCACTCTGGATAAGAGCTGCTTTGCTTGGCATCAACTTATATAGTGATCAACTGATTTTTTTAATCACAAGGCTCAGCGGAGGTCAGTACAGTTCTTAACACTAATGTTTTGTTTTATTGCCATATTTTATAGCAGGAGTAATCCAACTTACGAAATAGAGAATAACTAATGTAAATAAAGGAAGAAATGATAACCTACCTCGTGATCGCTACTACTTCCCAATACTTCCCCAGCTTTATTCTTCTTGTCTCAGAATGAGCTGATGGCAAAATTCTCTTAACACTGAAGAAAATATTTTAGCAAAATGTTACCTGGAGGTACTTAAGCACTTCTAGACACTATTCGGCTGGAAGAATAGACTTTCCTTTAAGTTGATCATGATCTTATTCAACAGTGATATTCAGTAATAATTCTCCATGCACTGACCTTTTACATCAACCGAACCTTCGAATGCGTTGTAATGGCGCATATCTAATGTTTTAATATTCCCCTTGCAATCCGACTTAAAACTCCTCGCTCCATTCACCTTGTTCTCCCTTTTACGCCTTACTCTGCGCCTTACCCCTGGGCTCATAAGTAATTTATTAGTTACAATGTTATTATTTTCTCCGCTGTGTTTAGTTTGCTGTCTGTAATGCATTCGAACGGATCTAGAGAATCCAAGACGCGTGTTACATTGGGACGCAGAAGTAGCTTGGCCGGCTCTCCATAGAATTCTCTGCAGCTTTGTTGTAGAACATCCGAGCGCCGAATACGAAGATCTGGGGCTCGATTCCTTGTGGGAGACTTTGATTTTCGCCCCATTCCTTCAAATTAGCGAATAACTCATTTCTTTATCCTTCATGTAGTTGTAAATAAGAGAAGCATTGTTTTGTATTCGCACAGCTTTATTAGATTTAAACAAGGCTGTTAAAACCTGCCTTGATGAGATTAAACATTTAACCGGTAAATTAGCCAAATGAAACAGCACTCTGGATAAGAACTGCTTTGCTTGATTTGCATCAAGC